ATATAAAACAGCCTGATTCTGATCTATACTGACTACCTAAACAAACCCCAAACACATTTGTTTGGCCTCAGAGAGTCGAGATACTTCGCCCCTTTTTTACGCTACTTTTTTGAATCTAAACTCTGATAAATGCAGAATGAATGACAATTATCAATCTTCCTGATCAACCCAGTTGATCAAACCATGAATTCTTTGCATTTCACTCCCCCCCATCGATGCAACAGCAGCGCAGTTTCTTTAGAAACTGCTGACTCCCTCACTCATCTATTGTTTCCATTAAAGTTAAGCCGATTTTTTTCTCTTTTCAGTTTCAGAGAGGAGATTTGGTGATTTACAATAATTATAATAGAGTGACAACGGTGAACCTGAATACACAGCTGAATACAGTGAATACGAATATGCATACAACCAATAATTATAACGTGGAGCTTGAACAAAATGGAGGAATGACGGTTGAAGATATAGAATGAAGGTTGTAGAACTAATCAAATGCAAATGTATTCCATCTATTAGCAAAAGAATATATTTCTGTTTGATGTTGCATTTATTGTACTTGTACGCGAACGAGGACCACGAATAGTATCGCGTGGAAGACTGATGGAGGAAGACTTAAACCGATTTGCAGAAACCATGAGTCAGTTTTTTTAAGAATTGCTTGCCAATATTTCGAGAGCAATATTTAGAAAGAAACCGTTTCTTTTCCTGTTTTATGAGATTGTATACCTACTGATATGGGCAGAGTCATCTACTCCTCTTCTCTCAACTCATAGGTTGGTCGGTGGGACAATTTCCAATGGCACAATTACTACATTTATTTGGCTATGTATTCATTGGAATATAGGCACCGTCCGACTTAAGTGCGGGACCATGACCTTCTTGTGCATGCCCGAAATTGTGTAAGATGGCCAAATCAGTCTTGAGTCGCTCCATGTAAGAAAATCCAAGAAAGTCTTGGACTCCGGATTCCACGCCGAGGATTCCGGATTCCAGGTACTGGATTCGAGTCTATGACAGTGAAACTTGGATTCTGGATTCCAATCCTTAGTAGGATTCCGGTTTTCTTGAGCTACATTGCGGGTACCAAAGCCCATGTTTAATTCCGGATTCAACAAGCAAAATTTTTCCGGGTCAGGATTCCTCAAGCTTCGCGGCCTCGGTAAATATCCAATACTAGCCACCTCCACTTCGTTGAATAATTGTTATTTAGTAGCATGTTACGACAAATTGACTTCTAAAACCCGCCCTTCTACCCTGGTCCCAGAGGTTTTTCTTGATTTTTCTTCGCGAAAGAGATCAAGAGCAAGCCGTGAAGCAGAGACAACGAGTTGCGAAAGCGACGAGGAGAGAGTCCTTCGCAACTCGTTGTGGCTGCTTCACGGCTTGCTCTTGATCTCTTTCGCGAAGAAAAATCNAAAAGAAAATTTTTAAGTACGTCCATGTTCAGATGGCGCTTCCAATCAACAATTTTAAATGTGTTCAAATACTGCGGCTAGCTGAAGCTGACGTACCTTTATTTAACAGCTACAAATACTAAAGAATTTAGTGGTTAAAAGCTCGTTGACTTCGTTCTGTGCCGAAAGCAGTGAAAAAAAAAATAGGCTGAAGCACTATATTTTACGAACTGAAAGGTGTTGTGAAAGCGAAGATCAGAATAATTCGCAGGTTTCTGAAGGAGGAATTACAGTCAAACCAGGTCAAGATTCCATTCATGAATTGATTATTTGAAAAGTGAACCCGTTTGTCGCTTCTGTAACTTGTAGCAACTTTTTAGTGTACGATGAGATGGAAAATATTTCAGTGGGTGAAATTTCTATTTAGGCATTCTTCAAATTCAAGAAAACTTAGCCTACGAACTCGCGTGTGTATTCACTGCTGATGACGCAAGCAAAAATGCAGACTGAAATCAACAACAACTAACGGATGGCGGCATTTTGGCCAATTGGAACAGCGCAAATCATCCTTATTGTTTCCATCCAATCAGAAAAAAGTCCAGATTCTGGCTTTTTTACATGTGATCCGACAAAGAAATGTATCATGCCCTCTTCCCGTGAGAGACTTAAAGGCATAATGGGGAGACGGCATAATCTCAGGCTAGGAAAAAATACACTTGGTCACCGTACTAAACGCTTCCTTAGTGGTAGTCCTTGTTTAAAGTCGGTGGGTCACAAGTCACCGACTGTTTTCGACGCCATTTTGACGGGTACGGAGTGGGAAATTTTGGCCCGTTTACCAAGCTTTAAACAAATTTTCTTTGACTTCATCTTGGATATTGTGGCGAGTAAACAGATGTTCTTGCTGTGTAGTAAAAATTATCCCAAACCTTGTCCAAATAGATCAGTTTTGGTGCAAATAGCACAAAAACCCGATAGTAAGAACTTGGGTTAACCTGTTAGACTGAAATTTGCCAGTTGGGTCTCCTCTAAATAAGGACATGTTTAGCCCAACCTCGTCCGGGAAAGAGGTTGTGTTTAACCTGAAATTTGAAGCATGTTCTTAGTTTCTATAAAGAAAATTCTGTACACTTGAGCAAATAAGATGGGTCAATATTCTGGACCCTCTTTGGAGACATAGGTGTCTTATCACTCCAACTGCAAATTATGTCATGGTATGAACATTTTACAATAAGTTCTTAGCTACAAAGTATACTGATTCCTTCAGAAAATAAGAACCTCTTAAAAACCTGAATAACCTAAATTCAGTCGTGATCATTACCGTTTGCTTAAGAACCTGTTTAGGCTAACTTGGGAACTGAAGCAGGTTCTTTCTCGCGGGTTTTTAATGTCTACGATGCTTACAAACCCAAAACAAAACAAAGTACATACATACATACATACTTTATTGGCTCGTCCCCACGGGGCTTTTCAGAGTCAATAAGAGTCAGAGTAAGTATAATTCAAGCAATGAAGGAATTATTTCAAAGCCCCGCGCAACATCGTTGGATCCTACACCTTGCGTTCGTTTGCACATCCTGTTGGTTGCGAGTGGTTGGGAGTTGTTGAGCAAAGTTTGAAACCGGTCAAACGTTTGAGCCAACAACTCCCAACATTTCTTTTATTCCGTGCTTGCTGAAGGGTTGCGTAACAATGTTGGATCCGTTTGCACAGCTTTTCCAACTATAAGGGAGCTTTAGCATCGACGACGTCAACGGCAGTGAAAACGTCACTTTTAAAAAGAATTCCCGTTTTTCAAACACTGTCGCGTGTTTTCCAGTTTGCTGAAAATGGCAAATGTGGGCGAATTTCCCTGGAGTTGATTTGTTGAAGAGCGCACTCAACTTTATAGAGCGAAAAAGAAATCGTCGCTTGTTTAGGCCTTCCATAAAACTTTCAATTAGGCATTTTCACGTCGTAGTCGTGTAAGGACGGTAAAGAACTGTACAAAAAGGCTTGGTGCACGTGCAAAGTTGTTGTTTTGCGTAATAAACCTATTGCTTTTTTGACGTCCTCCGCGTTGCCGTCGCCGTCGTCGTTGCTAAAGCTCCCGGATTGCTCGGACGCAGTTTCTGAACAAGCGTACGTTTGTCGTTTGGGTTAAAAGTATGGATTTTGTGACTCAAAACGACGCAACTGAGGTTGGAAATAACCTTCCTCGCCGTAAAAACGTGTTACAAGCGATAGTGAGTAATCCTTTCATGTAAAACTTTACTTTTGGTTCGGCAACCGTCCCCAAGCCGTCTTGCTTTCGATCCATCCCGTCGTCAAAGATCAAATCTGTCATAAAAGGGGGGTCGCATATAGTAGGGCTTCAATCTCTAATGAGCCGTTTTTGCGGCTAACACTTCAGTAACTGAAGTTAATTAGCTGTATGAAACATTTTTAGAAATTTTATCCCAAATCGGACTTAGAATCTTTTGACACGTCTCAAATGTCTTACGCACACGTGCAAAGAATACACAAAAACTCAGTGAACATGAATACGATGAGCATGAATATGAACACTACCAACAACGTGAAGCTTCAACAAAATGGCGGTGTGACGGTTGTAGGGGATAAAACGAACATTAATTACCATCAACCTCCTCAGTAGTAAACTGTTACATATGCTTTTTTTTTAAGTTAAAACCATGAGGACGGATTTAGTTTACGGCTTTTTTGTACTACTTTCACTTGCCACACCAACGTTAGATTTGTGTTATATTCTACTCAGCGCTGGACTATCCTCTCATCCGGGACCTTATTACTCAGATACCCAAGTGCTCACCAAAGTGCCCAATGGCACGGAAAGCTGGATAACTGGATATTTCTCAACCGTTAGCCGTCTTAGCCACATCTTTCGCTTCTGTGTGAGCTTCTCAGATGAACAATGATTTTTTACTATCACAGCGAGTTTTATTCTTGCATTTTTCTCAATTACAGTTGTAGAAGTTTGAGTTAGCGAGGTTTCAACTTAATGGGGTCGATTGCAAAATTTAATTTGCCATATTAAAAATTGATAGTTACTGATTTTTCAGCACTTCAGTTTAAAGTGCAATGCAAGTTTCACTTAATTAATCAGAAACGTTACCATTGTTATTCATTTTTTATGATAAAATGTGATCTGTTCGTTGCACCAATTAAATTCAAATATAGGTAGTTTTGCATGTTGGCCAGTGTTAGTTTTAACGTTTTTACAGTTTATAAAAAAGAAGAGCTAATGGGATGACATCCAAGTGGAGTTACAGGAACCAGAATTATTCGAGTTATCGGGGTAAATTTCAGTGAATTTTTGATCAGGAGAAACAGCGGAAATGAAATTTAGTGCGAGTTATCCGAGTTCGAGTTATCGTATTTTTCCTAGTAACAGTGGTAAGAACAGAATAGTCAAGTTAGGCCATCACGCCCCAATCGTGATGTAAGAGAGTTGTTATTTTTATTTTTTCAATTAGTGCAAATAAATTGAAGTATATTTGTCAATTGACGTTTCGGTTTGACATCACATGACGTGGGGTGTACCCAAACCAGACCCACCCCGACCCATACCCTAACCTTTTGTGGAGCCCGCAGTAACACCCGCCGACCAACATGGCTTCTTGCACAGTAGCTAAAAAACGGGCATCTCGACAGAAAACTGCAAACAATGTTGTTCAAACTGCTCCGATTTGCAAACTTCCTGCGAATATTATGCTACAAGTGTTCAATTACCTTAATGTAAAGACACTCTGTGCTTTATCGACTGTTTGTCGGCGATGGTATCATCTTGTTTGTGATCGCTCGTTGTGGAAATACGTTGATCTACGCTTGTGGCCACTCTCGCTACGGACTTTGAAGAAAATTGTAAGGAATCGCTTGTCAGATTCAGTTCTGGAACTGCTTATCAAAGGCTTCATTGGGACCACCAAAAAGGGCGAAAACATTTCACCATCTTTACTTGAAGAGATCAAGACGAAATGCCCTAGTTTAGAAACTCTGGGCTTGTGTTACTGTGACATGAGAAATATTCCCGCTCAATGTTTGCCACGAAATTTAAAATCGTTACTTCTAGATCATTCGATAGTTCCACTTGGTTGGTTTGAGGGATTGCAATGTGAGACGTTCTTCCCAAATCTATTGCAGTTGAACCTAACATATTGCACCCGGGTTGAGAATTCAGATCTCCGTAGCATAACAAAGCTGAAAAAACTTGAAAATTTAAATTTCAGTTACTGTTATCGAGTTGGTGACGAAGGCATTGAACATATCGCCCGAAATCTTAGTAATCTGAAAGTGCTTAATCTTTCAAATTGTCCCAAAATAACTGATCTAGGATTGCATCATATTGGACGACATCTCATTGGTCTAAAAAGGCTTAACCTGTTATCAAGTTGGAGAATAACTGATGCTGGTATTCTTTCACTGGTTCACAGTCTCACTGAACTGGAATATTTGAATCTGTCATCATGCAAGGAGGTGACTAATTCAGGGCTTACTGAGATCACTGACAAGTGTAAAAAGCTGAAGTTGTTGGACGTAACAGGCTGTACTGCTATTACAGAAAGGAATGTGAGTGATGCTAAGTTACTTTTACCTCTGTGTGATATTCAGTGGCCTTAGGAAAAGTTATATGTTGAATTGATTGGACTGTCGGTGAATACTGCAGGGGAGCTATGTTTTGCAAAGAATTTCATTAATCTAAAAATTGGCATTGTTATTATTTTTTAGACAGTCTCTGTATATAAAGCCTTGTCCTCACTAGCGATGCAAAGTATAAGTATAAGCACACATAGTGTGGTCCTTGCTAATTGACACACATAAACATAGGCATAGCATTAGGAGTTTATGCACTAGCAAGTATGGCCTTGACATAAGCTCAAGATAAATACAAGAATGTCAAAACCTTGCATTCTTCTTTTGCTTATGCTTATGCAGTGATTTTGTTACCTCTGCGTCCCACGTCCCTGATACATAAAAAGCACCAAAGACACAAAATATTTCATAGCATGTGAAGATGTTTTTGTAGAATATCCTTTTTGAGTGATTTTTGTGGCTCTTTTTGCTGCTGTTGTTTGACAAAGTATATTTCTTTTAGTCTTTGTTGTTCTTTACGATAGAAGCATTTTTTTATTCCAGAAAATAGTAATACAAGAGTTTTGGGAGTCTGTTTTCTTCTGTCTTCTTCTGTCTGCATGGTTACATAAAGGCCTGAAAAAATTCAGTTTAGGACTCATTGTTCTGGAGTAGGACTTATGATGTTTTGCAAGATTAGTCCCAGAACTCACCATAACTACATGCATTTGTAACAAAATCACTAGTCCTTAAGCTTTTATGCTCTTCAGTTCATGCTTATTTCCTGCATTATGTGTACACTTTTGCTTATGCTTGTGCTTTCATCCTTAGTGAGGGCAGGGCTTAACAGATTTCATTAGTCTGCACCAAAACAACCACATTTTTGGCCTTGGTCAATGAGAGCAGTTGGTGAGAGGAGATAAAAGTATCCACTACGCCACTAAATTAAGTTTTTTTGAGTCGTAATAGTCTGACACCTCATGAGGGTTATTGGATGCGATGACTATTTCAATGTTAATTCTGCCTAAACATATCATTTTGTAGACCAAAGTCTATCAAAATAATGTGTTCATTGCCTAGATTTAACCTACATGTAAAGAAACATTGACATTGCAATTTGCCAATGTTAAAAAATAAACATGTGACATGCATGGGTGAGTGATGAGCTCCATGAAATTACAGGGTGTCCTAAAAGTTCGTTCCTGTAATTTCATGCACTCCTACTTTTGATCAAAACTTTATTTTTACATGAAATTGCAAGAAGATGTTTATTGCTCTATTGGGTACATATATTCAGAAGTTCAGTAACTGGCATGCCCCCTTTGTTTTTATATCACAAAAGTCATTCTGGAACCATTGCGGCATGGAGTGGGATACATTGTGTAAAGCCACAGATGATCCTGACCATTTTGAGCTTTTTTATCTCCTGGTACGCAGTTGCCTTTTCAACCCACAAACAATATTTTTTTAAGATTAGGCAGCTGAAAAAAAAGTATATTTTGGGCATTCATCCAAAAAAAGATAATCATCCAAGCCCCCAGAAAGACTTTTGTACTCCTGTACAAATTTGGGATGAGCTAATCACTGCCATCTCAGGGGCCTCTAACCTTCACTTTTCATGAACCTGTTCTAGACTTGGCTTGCTTACTGTTGTGAGAGCGTCCTTACTGAGTTTCCTCTTTTGTATCTACCTTTCTTTAAAACTATTTTAGCTGATTTATGCAGGACATTCATTCTTCCCGTTCATTTCTTGTCATCAAAACTGTTATTTCTGGATGATCTTTTTACCACCCAACATTTGGATTTTTCCAGTTTTTTGGCAGTTTCTTCATTTGATAAGCCAGTAAATAGGAGTATACATGCTTATGCTCTCACGTAGCTGAATGTTTGTGCATTAAGGGGGTTTATCTTTCATGATATTCACAGACAAAACAAGGAAGGAGTTTAAGCAATTCGGGCTAAAAATATATTATACAAAAAATATGTGGCGAGAAAATATACTCGCGCACACGCTCCTTCAGCACAGAAGTTCACAAACTGAATATTGGAGTCAAAAGATGGCACAATAAGTAGTGAATTAGATTGAAAAACAACTTTTGCTTACCACGTCCAATCATTCTGTATTACAGACTTACGAAGTAGAGGAACAAAACTTTTGGGACAACCGGTATAATGTTTTTGGCATTAAACAAACATTATGCCAAAACTCTAAGATAATAAAATTTATGATTAGGATTGGCTAATTCTCTCTTGGAGGAGAATGCCCTGCCACTTTCTCTCATTTGTTTTTGCTCTAAACAGTAGCCAAACTTATTTTCTTTACAAATTAAAGTAAATTAAATATAAAAGGAGAAATTCAATGACTTTATCACAATCTAAGTACATGTAACTAAAGCATTTATTTTATTTTAGATGTCTTTCTTGGCATTTTTAAAGGTTAAATAAAGCTTTTATCATGCCCAGATTGGTTTTCCTTGGAGCCTTGCTTCCTGTTTTTTGATTAGCATCTCAACGTTTTTCAGTGGACAAAGCTGAGGTTCTTTGGCCCCAGAATCAGCCTGTTTTGTTTCAGTTATCTGGGTATATCACTCTTTTCTCCTTTTATTTCACTCTTTTCTCACTGTATAACTTATTATACTAAACAGTTCCAATACTGATTAATAGGCCATTTTACAGCTGCAGGTGGAAATTAGGCTTGAGGTGACCTTGTTTTGATACAACCCTTCCTGCTTTCTTATGTAAATCATGTTGTTCTAATGCAAACAAGTACACAGGTAACCCAGGCTCACTGTTTGTGTCACCTACGGGTTTCATAACATGATTAAATATAGCGAACATATGAGGCGAAGTTCAGGTCTTGAAATTTGCTAGAAAATGGAAATAAAAATCGATGAAACTTACCATGTGGCAAGTTGTTTTGGTCCTTAATGTGTACACAAAGTTTCAGGAAAATAGTCTGTTTCACCTTTCCTTCATAATGTACTATGAAACTTCGCCCCATATGTTCTCTATATTTATTCATGTTATGAAACCCGTAAGTGACACAAACAGTGAGCCTGGGTTACCTGTGACAAGTATTCTTCAAGTATAATCTCCATAAGAAAACAAAGGAGTTTGAGTTTTCAGCCTCGCATTCATCCAAAGGCTAGGGTACTCAGTCCACAACTGTAAAATGGTCTATTGGAATTAGCAAATAATGTAAAATTAAGTTAGTTTCTCAAAATTTTAAGCACAAGACAATTTGATATTTGTTATGTTTAGGAAATTCTGCTCTTCTGCAGTCTACAGTCCCACTCCTCATGTTTTTAATATTGACTGCTTTGACTTGCGGTTATAACCAGCAAGTCATAACATGAAGAAGTGTGCAGTTTTTCACGAGAACAACGAGATTGCATCTTAGATTTCCCCTTTCCCTACCCTGGAACAAGAATGATTCAAACAATTACCCACCCCATGGTCCAAAGGGCCAAGCTTGTCCAATGGGTTTTCAAGGGGTGGACGCGGAGGAAGGGGGATGGTAGCAAGTGAATTGAACCATGCATCCCCATGATTCATTTCTTCTGGGAGACAAAGAGACCACTGCTTTTCACAGTGATTAGAGTTTTTTTGGCTCTGAGGCATTTGAAGGGAATGGGTGTAAGTACATGAATGGCTCCCAAGAGGGAGAAGGAGGAAGACCTTTCACCCATTTGTACTCATCACATTTGTCTCCCTTTTCCTTGACCTTTACTCTTCCTCTTCAAATGCCTGCCACACAGATATCAGTATTTGGGAATACATGTGTTTTGAGTATTTCATCCTTGTGCTCAAATCACTGCTACTGATACGGAAAACAAAACACTAATCATGCATCTGAACAAGCAGACTGATCATTTGATCTTTTGACGCAGAACTTTCCTCCATTATGGATCATAGCTGTTGAAGTAATTTGTTCTCACCACTGCTGCCATTTTCGTTGTACAAATTTGTACAATAAAAATTCCTCTGAGTAGCACCCCTTCCCTTTGGGTGAAGACGGTGCAACATAGAGGAGCTTCCAGAGAGTGTTGTACGTAGACATGCACATGTAGAAATACAGAGCACAGATTTTATGCGAGGAGATTGTGATATTTTCAGAAGAAAGTGACTCTACCTCAAAGAATTCATTCATGGGAAGTGTAATGGTGAACCAGTGCTATGGTCGAACCAGTTTTCTAGCAGGAGGAAGGTTGATTTGCTTATTCCATGATGAACTTGCAACCATACCGAGCCATGTAAGTTATCGTACAATTACAGATAGTTAAATATGTTGTCTCAGTCCATCAATACCGTCAGCGAAAGATAACTTAACCTTCACAAAGTCAAGGAGGAATTTGTTTTCTGATTAGATGTTTTTCCTTAAAGACATGCTTTTTATTTCAAAAATTAAAGATTAGAGAACTAAGTTCTTAAAAATACCGTAAAATTCCGAAATATAAGTCCCGGGACTTATGTTTTTCAAAGGCCCTTTTCGAGGCGTTTACATACGGATAAAAATTTGCATTTTAAAATCGGCTAGGCTTATACTGGGAGGTAATATGCGTCTCAAAATCCATTGGGTTAGATTGTAGTTGGAAGCCTGGAAATTTATGTCAGTAATTTGCAGCACGTTTTTACTGAAACTCGCGTTGGGGACGTAGATCTTTCTAAAACTCAGTCATGCAAGTGCTTTGTCTACACTAAGGAAATTAAAGCCAAGACTTAAGAGTTAATTACGCAAAGAGCAACATACTGTGACACCTTTTGACTGCAATCATTTGGCACACGTAATAGTTCTTTGGCAAATGCAAAAATTTTTTGTGTTACTGTACAGTTTTTGCTTTGTTCTATTTTGGATTAATTGAGAGCAATTTCCGAGTAGAAGCCCCGGGGGGAAATTCATCGGAGGTTTTTTTGCATTACGAGTTTGAGGGGCTTATATTTGGAGAGGTTTTTACATGGAGGAGCTTATTTTTCGGAATTTTATGGAATTTAACATTAACATCACCTATCAATGTTATTCCCAAAACAAGGGAAAGGGGCTGAACAAG